GAATTAAAAGTGATTACTGTGATATATTATTGGTGTCTTTTAAGTTTTAATTTGTGTTCGGTAATTAAAGTGTTAATTTAGGTAATTCAATCGGAAGTTTTTACTGTCACGAACCCTAAGCTCGTAACAATTGGTGTCAGATGGAGGGTATCCGTACCCGAAGTCAACTCCAGCAGGAGACGGACCAAACAAGATTTGGTGGTGCAACGCCGCAGACGTCGGAGGGCCAGCCGCCGGCTGCAGGCCCGTCAGTAGCTCCTACAGCTGCAGTACCTGACTTAGGTGCTCTGATGGTGATGCTGCAGGAACAGGCCCGCCGACAGGAGGAACAGGCCCGCCGACAGGAGGAACAGGCCCGCCGACAGGAGGAATAGGCCCGCCGACAGGAAGAGCAGATGCTCTTCGTGAAGGACATTCACGCTAACTTCGGATAAGAGATAAGGGAGGTGAAGGATAGGGTTGGTCAACATGACAACCGCCTGTCGGAAGCTGAAACTCGAATCGAGGAAGCTAAAACCCGAATGGACCAAGTGAACAAAGTGTTGGCTGACATGAAGAAAACTCTGGATGACCTCAAACTTGGGAATGGAATAACAGCTACGTGGGTTCAAAGTGCCACCGTTCGACGAGACTTCTTCCTGGTCAGCCTACAAAATACAGTTCAAGGCCGTAATGGAGGCGAACGGCTGGAATAAAAGCCAGGCCATGACTGCACTCACCCTAGGCCTGCGCGACCAAGCCTTAACTGTGTTGGAAGCTCTCGGTATGAAAGTGACCTACGAGCAGCTCCTTGAGGCATTGGAGGCGAGATATGGTGACGCTCACCTGGAACACGTCTTTCGCGCGCAGCTTAAAGATCTCGTGCAGCCCAGCAACGAAAACCTTGCCCTTCATTTGATCCCTGATTAAATTGACACTCGTCATACTATACATACATTCTTTTTTTAATAACAAAAAGAATTCGTAAGATAAGGCGTGCTTTAATAGTTTTTTACTACGAGTTGTACGATAAGGTGATAGTGAAACCGATATCTGACATTGATAAATTGTACATTTATTTATTAAATACGCGAAGAAAACTTGCATCCATTTATAAGCGTATTGCGCGCAGAAGAACTGTGAGATTTTTGGCATGGTTAAAGAATGCAGAATGCAGAAGTGCAGAAAGCTTAAATTTATCTATATGTTTTATTACATAAGTTTTACTTCTTATATTTAATTATTAATTAAAGCATTAATTGTTTACGTTGGTACTACCAATGCCAAACACTAAATACTCTGTGGTCAACAGTTGCATAGAGAAGATATTGTTGTCAAAAATTTTTAAAATGTGGCCGATAAAAATAATTACTAACAGTTTGACTGAATGAGCTGTGAATTTTGAATTTGATTTAAAATATTCCTTATTTAATAGTATGTGGAGTTGTATGTCAAGGCATAAAAAGTATTTCTTTTATATTTTGCACATTAAATATCTGTTTTATATATTAATGTGCAGTTGAAAATGAAATAAAGCCTGCTTAATATTCAAACTTTAAAATTTAACGAATTAAGGTCAAAAGTTCAAGCACTGGTTACCTACTATTATTATAGAACCAGCAATTCACCCGGGCTTCGCAAGGGTCATTTCTGGATCTCGACAGCAGCAACACCAATCGGGTGTAACTGGCAATCCAAACCATCCAGGGATCCACTCAAACACAGCAATAGATTTTTTGAAATAGTTTAAGGCTTAGCACGCTCTGCGATTAAACGCGAGCGGTTTAGGAATAGCTGAAAATGCAAAACCGCATACAATCACGCACTGAGGCTGGAGTTTTGCTTAATTTTATTTCAGTACCGTCATGGATTTCGGGCGAGTAGCGTGTGTTGTGGCTTTGGTTTTTAAATTAAAAATAGAAAACGTAAACAACGGCGCTGCCATAAGTACTGGGTACATCCACTAATATATCGAAGACATCTGAAAGGATACTTTTGCTACTAACTAGTACCGCAAAAAACGACTGTCCTCTGCGCTCGTCTAGTCGAAACCGAATGCAGTGGGCCCTTAGGTGGAGAAGATGGTTCGAAAAAAAAGGATACCAGTCTGTACCTGCGCTCATTGAAGGGAACCTGGTGTAGACATTCATCGACGGCATCCGCGACCTTGAAGTCAGAGCTGCTGTGAGGTTCGGGCACCACGTGACGCTCAAGGAAGCCTTGGCCTATGCACTGGAGGTTGAAGCCGTGCGGCAGGATCATCGCTCCCATTGCATCAGGCAGCTACAGTTCGCGACCGCAATAATGGATACTGCCCTAGGTGCTACGGCTGTGGGGAAAGGGGCCATATTCGACCCAGCTACCCTAAGCGATCTGTAAAAAGGGAAGGTGATGGATCTCCAAAGGGTAGTGCGGCTTATAGCACCGCCCAGCAGCAGCAGGAATACGACTTTCCTATCGGACACTGCAGCGGTAAATGGCACGGCAACACAGATGCATTGTCAAGAAGATCTTATCCTGATGATTGCAAGAACAGTACTAGGCAAGAGGGTAAGTAAGTGGTATCCGTGAGGATGCTCAGGACAGACCACATCAGCAACGAATGGAAGGACAGCTTACAACATGCACAGCAGGAAGATCCGGACATCAAGCCGATTCTGGAATGGATGAAGGCCAGTGCTCCCAAGCCCAAGTGGAGCGACGTCTCAGCGATGAGTTCGACCACTAAAAACTATTGGGCCCAATTGGACAGCTTGCTGCTTCAGGATGGAGTTCTGTGCCGTAAATGGAAAAATGTTCGGGGAGACAGCTGTCAGCTGACAGCATTTACAAATGGTTGCCTTCAAAGCTAAAGTACCGGATGTTCTACAGCTGTACCATAATGATTGTTCAGGAGGCCATCTGGGAATTAAACGAACTCTACTGAAGATCCGAGAACGATTTTACTGGGTCCATTGTCGAAACGGTGCGGCTGTAAAGGGACCTCAGACTCGTAGTAGAGGTGAATTGAAGTTGTGCAATGTTGCACCATGGGAGAGAATAGCCATTGACGTGGCGGGGCCGTTTTCGGAAAGTGAAAGTGGTAATAAGTATTTCATGGTTGTGATGGATCATTTCACTAAGTGGCCAGAAGTCTTCGCCATTCCAAATCAAGAAGCTTCAACAGTTGCAGATAAACTAGTTCATGAAGTCTTCTGTCGTTTTGGAGTACCTTTAGAGATTCACAGCGATCAAGGAAGGAATTTTGAGTCTCAAATATTCCAGAAAACTTGCCGAGTTATGGGTACTCATAAAATAAGAACGACTTCTTACCACCCGCAATCCGATGGAATGATAGAACGATTTAATCAGACATTGGAGAGGTACCTAGCAAAAGTTGTAGACAATCGGCAACGAGATTGGGACAAGCACGTACAACCGTTTTTGTTGTCATATCGAAGCGCTGTTCACAAAAGTACATCACTGACGCCAGCTTTCGCAAACTTCAGAAGAGAATTAAGGCTGCCTGCAGACCTGATCACCGGGATACCACCTGATGCCCCACGCAGTGTAACCGATTATGCAAATGACTTGCGAAACAAAAGGAATGACATTTATGAGCACGTCAGACAATCGGGCCAGCAAATGTCCGAAAAGATGAAAACCCGGTATGACCGCAAAATGACGAAGGTTCCCTAGTGTGGTTGCACAATTCAGTCCGCAGCAAAGGGAAATCTCCTAAAAGTAAAAAAGGAAAGTTACAGCCTATATACGTCCCACTGCTGAGCACAGGCCTCCCCTCATTTATAAGAGGGTTTTAGGGCGGGGAAGTGTCCGCCGCGCTGCCCCAATGCGTGTTGGCGAACTTCAATCTCCTAAGCTTCAAGCTAAATGGGACAGCCCGTACCGGATTGTGACCAGGATCAACGACGTAACCTACCGGATACAGAAAGGCGCAAGAAGTACACCTAAGATCGTCCATGTGGATCGATTGGCACGTTACTATGGGGTCGGTAATGCTCGGGACGAGCATGTCTTAGGAGAGGGCAGTGTTGCGCGCCACAGTTTGTGACTCTAGCGCCATTTATTATTGAACAGAGGAACTAAGCTTTCTAGAAAGCCCCACACTCGAACTTTATGCGCCTGGTCGTTTAACGGCGCCCATTTTTGCTGGAATATTCTGGATGTTTCGGTGGAAGAGCCCTATATAAAGCCGTTGATATCCGCGATCGGGGCAGTATTGAATTTGGCGAATCAAGCGAAGCTTCGGAGCGAAATAAAGTGAACTAAAAGTGATTAGTGTGATTACTTATTGGAGTATTTGAAGTTTTAATTTGTGTTCGGTAATTAAAGTGTTAATTTTGTTCAATCGGCAGTTTTTATTGTCATGAACCCTAAGCTCGTAACAATACAATAGGGTAGAATCATTTTTATTAAATATTGATTACATGCAATTCTTATTGAAAGTAATTTTTCACTTTTACCACTGGTTCAGAAAAAAACCTCTGTCCTGGGAAGAAACATTAAGAACAGGACTTATTTGGAATTGCTTACTATGCTATTGCTGGTACAACTGTAGAATCCAGGACGATGACCATTTGTTAGTTTTATTTGACACTAACAGCTTCCCCTGGATAGGTTCTATAAATGTGGAGATATATAGATTATTAATTTTATCCATTTATCGTTAAAAAAATGTTTTTGAGAAAAATTTAAGCCTAGATCTCTCCAGGCGTTGTTATCTATCTGTTCCTAAAGTCTTATCACAATAGGTTCGGCCATTAAGACAGATTAGGCGGAAGGGCAGACAAAAACTTTAAAAATAGTTATTTATGTTTGAATAGATTGAAAATCACCCCTGAGCTTATTAGAAGCCAGTTATTATAATGTTCCAGACAAATACTTCAATTTTATTTATATAGTCTATAGATTTAATAAATATCTACTAAATATTATTTATTTTGTTTAATTTTTTTAAATAAAAGAAAAATGAAGAAGCTACTAAATTATATAAATCAATTTTTTAAATGAATTTATTGTAGAAGTCAGCACACATGTTCACATATGGCCATTCTGCGAGACTTTGGTTTCCTTGTGTGGACAGTTTTGCAGAACCATGTACATGGAAATTAGAATTTACTGTGGATGAATGTTTGACTGCTGTGTCTTGTGGAGAGTTACTGGATGTGGTGTACACACCTGACCATAGAAGGAAGACATTTCATTATGTTGTCAATACACCAGCATGTGCCCCTAACATTGCACTTGCCATTGGGTAAGTTTCTTTTGATTTCTAAATTTTTATTTATTTATAACATCTCTTTTAGGAAAATTACACATTATGTTAACATGTGTTTCTATCTTTCTTTCTATTAGCTTGTGTGGACTGTGACAAATGACGTCGAGAATCAGAAAATGAGTTCCGTTACGTGTATTGATAGATTGAGATTGTCAAAATAAAATAGTATTTTGATATATTTTTATTTATATTATGTTTTGGTGTGCTTTATTTTAGTTCACTTTTAAAACTTTTCGTCATCAGCACCTTTATTTTTGTGTCTTATTTTTTTTGATTCAACTTTCTAATAGTTTAAAGGTGTAGCGAGGCTGTCGTCGCGCCACAAGCAAAACACATGAAGACTAAATCACGCTATCAAAGTTCCAAAGTACTACAATATATATATATAGGATAGCTCCGAACTACTATATTATGGAGTGTTAGCCGCTCCTACAACTGAACTGGGCTCAACACCTTGCCTGGTGGGAAATCTCCTCTTTTCCTTCCACGGCCAAAGAGAAATATAAGTTCTTTTTTCTCCAAATGTCTACCTCACCTGCAAGCAGTGTACTCCACTGTTGGGTATGGCCAAATCTCGACAAATACTTGCTAGTAGGCGCATTTTTGGAGGCAAGGCATAAGTCCAACAATGTTTGTTAATGATTTTTTAAAGAATAACTGAAAGAAAATGTAAATCTTATCATATTATTACCACATTGTTGACATTTTATTGTAAATTACATGGCATTTAGAGACAATATTTGTAAGCAACACGTTTTTTTTCTCTGTTCGTAACTAAAGCTAGTGTAAAAATAAATTTAAATTAAATTATAAATGTATACATCTACTAATTTGATTCAGAATAGTATAAGATTTAGCTTATATATCTTTAAAATTAACATTGATGTTTTAGGCCATTTGAGACTTACGTAGATCCTTTTATGAATGAAGTAACACATTACTGTCTACCTAATCTCTTGCAAATTCTAAAGAATACTGTGAGATATTTACATGAAGCTTTTGAATTTTATGAAGAAACTTTGTCAACGAGATATCCTTATCCATGTTACAAACAAGTCTTTGTAGATGAGGTGAGTTAATGCATTTATTTATTTATCGCCAAAAAGTATTGTTGCGCGCCTAAGTTGACGTCATGTACCCGGCACCAGCGCCATCTAGTGTCGGGGACGAGAGCGAGGGGAGCTTTCCAGAAAATGACATCACTAATCTTTCAACCGACAGCGCCATCTAGTATCGAAATGAAGAACTAAGCTTCTAGAAGCCCGACACTCGAAATTTCGGCGCCTTGTCGATTGATGCGCGTATTTACTTGAATATTCTGGATGTTTCGGTGATAATGTGTATTTAAAGGCGCTGCAAGATGCGATCGAGGAAGTATTCGGAGCGGAATAAAGTGAATCAGTGTGATTAATTATTAGTGTTTTAAGTTTAATTAGTGTAAAGTGAATTAAAGTGTTAATTTTGGTAATTCTATCGGCAATTTTTATTGTCACGAACCTCAAGCTCATAACAATTGGTGTCAGAAGTGAGATAAAATCATGCCGATTTTACCTAAGGAGGAAACGGAGGGTGTCCGTACCCGAAGTCAACGCCAGCAGGGGACGGACCAAAGAAGATTTGGTGGTGCAACGCCGCAGACGTCGGAGGGCCAGTCGCCGGCTGCAGGCCCGTCAGTAGCTCCTACATCTGCAGCACCTGACTTAGTGCTCTAATGGTGATGCTGCAGGAGCAGGCTCGCCGACAGGAGGAGCAGGCTCGCCGACTGGAAGAGCAGCTGTGGGGCGGACAGGATAAACAGACCTACGAGCAGCTCCTTGAGGCGCTGGAGGCGAGATATGGTGACGCTCACCTGGAACACGTCTTTCGCGCGCAACTTAAAGATCGCGTGCAACGCAGCAACGAAAACCTGCAGCAGTGGGCCCTTGAGGTAGAGAAGATGGTTCGAAAAGCATACCAGTCTGTACCTGCGCTCATTGAAGGGAACCTGGTTCAGACATTCATCGACGGCATCCGCGACCTTGAAGTCAGAGCTGCTGTGAGGCTCGGGCACCACGAGACGCTTAAGTACGCCTTGGCCCATGCACTGGAGGTGGAAGCCGTGCGGCAGGATCTTCGCTCCCATCGCGTCAGGGAGGTTGCAGCAGCTACGGTTCGCGACCGCAATAAAGAATACAGCCCTACGTGCTATGGCTGTGGGGAAAGGGGCCATCTTCGATCCAGCTGCCCTAAGCGAACCGTAGAAAGGGAAGGTGAACGATATCAGGAGGGTGGTGTGGCTAACAGCCCCGCTCAGCAGCAGCAGGGAAACGAGTAAAGGCTAGAACTGCGGGGCGGGTGCTGGCTGATGTTAAAAGAGCCCCAAGGATCTCGATCTCACAAACCCATTATGGGAACAGTCTGATCATCAAGGGCGAGGTCAACGGAATGCCATGTAAACTGACCATAGATACTGGAGCCTCTCGTACGGTTGTTAGTTCCCAACTTATAAGTCAGTTACTTGGGGACTCCGCATACAACCGAGAACGCATTAAAATAATACTAGTTTTTACGGAATTTATCGCGTATATTTTAACTTTTTAAATACCCGACGTTTCGAACGCTTTACAGCACTCATGGTCACGGGCAGGACTGAGATGTTCAACGTCCATATGTCATAGTTAACCGCGGTTACCATAGATTAAAATTTAACTTTTGTTCCGATCTATGCAGTATGAACTTATGGTATCTTGAAGTCGTGCAGTTGTATGCTTGGGTTGGGATTTAATTTTATTTATTATAGGATCCCAAGCAGATGGTAACACCCAGCCATCTTCTCTATTGAAATTAGGATGTTTTTTGATTTCAATAGCCTCGCGAATCATCCTTGGAAGGAATCGGTGTTCTTTAGCGAGGATCTGCGGTCTATCAAATCTGATGTAGTGACGGGGGCGATCCTGTACGTGTTCACAGACTGCAGACTTCCCGGAGCGTCGATTCTTCACATCAGCTATATGTTCTTTAACGCGGGTTTTTATTGATCTTTTAGTTTGTCCTATGTAGGAGAGACCACATTCACAATCAAGCTTGTACACTCCTGCATCTTGCAGAGGGACTTTACACTTGACCGATGGTAAAAACTGACCAATCTTCTTCAGCGGCTTGAAGTATGTTTTGATGGAAGCGCGCTTCAAGATGTAGCCAATCTTGTCAGTGACTCCTCTAACATATGGCAGTACAGCAGGTACACGCTCGACTGTGGCCGGCTTCACTCGTTCTCTGTGACGTAGGCGCGGGACTCGAAGCTTGTTGTCATGCAAAACTTGCTTGACATGGTGGAGCTCTGCAGCCAGGTGTTTACTGTCACAGATCCCTCGTGCTCTCTGAAACAAAGATTTACCCACGGTAGCTAACTGTGAAGGATGGTGGTGAGAATCACCGTTTAAATATCTATCTGTATGGGTCTTTTTTTCTATACACAGTATGGCTCAAGGTGTTATCAGGATTCCGAATTACTAACACATCTAGAAAAGCTAAGGAATTGTTTGCCTCTAACTCCATTGTGAACTGAATTTTAGAATTTATAGAGTTAAGATGGTCTAAAAATGCAGTTACTTTATCTAAAGGTAGAATTGTGAAAGTGTCGTCTACGTACCGCTTGTAGAACCTTGGATTTATGGGAGAGCTAAGCAGGGCTTTCTCCTCAAAGTCTTCCATAAATATGTCGGCGACAATGGGAGATACAGGTGAGCCCATCGCCACACCATGTACTTGCCTGTAGAACTCCTCTCCACAATAGGTAGCCAGATGTAAGGCAGTGTCTGAGTAATACTGCATATTCTACGGGCATGTTGTTTTCTTCCAGCCTTCTAGTTACAATTGAGATGCAGTCTTCAACAGGTAAGCATGTAAACAATGACTGCACATCAAAACTGACCATAGTTTCATTGTCTGCCAGATGTAGGTCTTTAATCTCGCTCACAATATGATAAGGGAAACGCCACGGTAGTCATGGATACGTCAGATTATAATTCTAAAATACAAGAACTTTTGTCGGATGTAAGTACTTATAAAAAGGTTAAAAACGACCCAACAAATAGCACACTAAAAACAACTAGTGACCTCATAAAGAAACACTCCTCAAGCTTCGAGTCCCGCGCCTACGTCACAGAGAACGAGTGAAGCCGGCCACAGTCGAGCGTGTACCTGCTGTACTGCCATATGTTAGAGGAGTCACTGACAAGATTGGCTACATCTTGAAGCGCGCTTCCATCAAAACATACTTCAAGCCGCTGAAGAAGATTGGTCAGTTTTTACCATCGGTCAAGTGTAAAGTCCCTCTGCAAGATGCAGGAGTGTACAAGCTTGATTGTGAATGTGGTCTCTCCTACATAGGACAAACTAAAAGATCAATAAAAACCCGCGTTAAAGAACATATAGCTGATGTGAAGAATCGACGCTCCGGGAAGTCTGCAGTCTGTGAACACGTACAGGATCGCCCCCGTCACTACATCAGATTTGATAGACCGCAGATCCTCGCTAAAGAACACCGATTCCTTCCAAGGATGATTCGCGAGGCTATTGAAATCAAAAAACATCCTAATTTCAATAGAGAAGATGGCTGGGTGCTACCATCTGCTTGGGATCCTATAATAAATAAAATTAAATCCCAACCCAAGCATACAACTGCAAGACTTCAAGATACCATAAGTTCATACTGCATAGATCGGAACAAAAGTTAAATTTTAATCTATGGTAACCGCGGTTAACTATGACATATGGACGTTGAACATCTCAGTCCTGCCCGTGACCATGAGTGCTGTAAAGCGTTCGAAACGTCGGGTATTTAAAAAGTTAAAATATACGCGATAAATTCCGTAAAAACTAGTATTATTTCAATGTGTAGTGTTCGCGTAAATATAAGAAATCATTATGAGAACGCATTAATTTGGTAACAGCCACCGGTCAGCGTATACCCGTCCGTGGAGAGAAAGAGATGGAGTTGAAGCTAGGCAACATGATCTACCTTTATAATGTCATCGTGGCTGATATAATGGACGACTGCATCCTGGGCCTAGACTTCATGAGGAAGAATTATTGTGCGACGATGACGTTAAGCAAGGTGTTTTGAAATGTGGACAAGAGGAACTTTTTGTAGAAGGGGCGTTACCAGGGAACGTGTACAGCCTTAAGGAGATTGTTCTTCCGCCGAGATCGGAAACGATTGTGCCGGTTAGTCTTCCTCGAAACGCTGGGCAAGCTCACCGTTGTGTACTTGTGGAAAGGGTAAACAATGACCTTCCATGAAAAGTAGCTCGAACCTTGGTCAGAACCACTGACATCTCAGGAGTACGTGTGCTGAACCTTTGTGACCAGGAACAGATTATAGAAAAAGGCACACTGGTTGGTACTTGTGAGGAAGTGGATTAGTTACGTCGGTGCCAATATCTATCGAGTGGGACCCCCAGCAAGGATGCACAAACTAGGAGTGACCAAACTTTTGGAAGACTGTCGCAGCGTTCTCTCCCCGAACGAAATGTTCAAGGCGAAGAAGTTGTTACTCAAGTATGCCGAAGTATTCTCATCAAGCGATGCTGACATAGGAAAGCTTGGCTTAGTTCAACACAAAATAAACAAAGGAGAAGAATTGCGTATCAGTCAGCGGCCAAGAAGATTGCCGGTAGCACGTGAAAAGGAAGTGGAAACCATGGCTGAGGGAATGGTGAAGGATGTTGTTATTGAACCTTCACTCGTGGTGTTCACCCGTGGTGCTGGTAAAGAAGAAGGACGGCAGCATGCGGTTCTGTGTTGACTACCGCCGTCTGAACGAGGTTACTAAGAAGGACAGCTATCCCTTGCCAAGAATTGATGACACTCTATATATGCTAATAGGAGTAAAGTGGTTTAGCACGCTGGATCTAAAAAGTGGCTACTGGCAAGTTGAAATTGACCCTAAGGACAAGGAGAAAACTGCGTTCTCGACGGGAAAGGGTCTGTGGCAATTTGAAGTAATACCGTTTGGATTGTGCAATGCTCCAGCAACGTTTTAAAGGCTGATGGAGCTTGTACTTACCGGGCTAATTGGCGATGCCTGTCTGGTCTACTTGGATGACATCATCATCGTGTGCCGTACGTTTGAGAAACACTTTCAAAACCTGGAACGCGTGCTCATGTAGATTCAGAGTGCCAACCTTAAGTTGTGTCCGAAGAAATGTTCACTATTCAAACGGCAAGTCAACTTTTTGGGGTATGTAGTGTCGGAAGAAGGTATCCGCACGGATCCGGAGAAAATCGCCGCTGTCAAGGATTGGCCGGTTCCAAAAGACAAGACACAGGTTAGAGCATTTTTGGGTTTGTGCTCATATTACCGACGATTTGTGAAGAACTTTGCAGATATAGCCAAACCTCTGCATAAGCTAACCGAGAAGAAGCGACATTTCTGCTGGGACGAAAGTTGCAATATCGCATTCCAGGAGCTCAAGGACCGTCTGTGCAAAACACCTAGTTTGGGATACCCTGGTGCAAGCAAAGAATTTATAGTTGACACAGACGCAAGTGATATAGGACTTGGCGGTGTGTTCTCTCAACGGAATGGTGACCAAGAGGTCGTGATAGCGTACTTCAGCAAGTCGTTGTCAAAACCGGAAAGTAACTATTGTGTCACAAGACGCGAATTGCTAGCTGTGGTAAAGTCGTTGCAGCATTTTAGCAAATATCTTCTGGGATGAAAATTTCACTTACGAACTGACCATGCTGCACTAAAATGGATATTGCAGTTTAAAAATCCAGAAGGACAAGTTGCGAGGTGGATTGAACTACTGCAGGAATACGACTTTGAGATCGAATATCGCAGCGGGAAATCTCATGGCAACGCAGATGCATTGTCGAGAAGACCTTGTCCTGAAGATTGCAAACATTGTACTAGGCAAGAGAGTAAGGAAGTGGTATCCGTGAGGATGCTCAGGACAGACCACCTCAGCAACGAGTGGAAGGACAGCTTACAACGTGCACAGCTGGAAGATCCGGACATCAAGCCGATTCTGGAATGGATAAAGGCCAGTGCTCCCAAGCACAAGTGGAGCGACGTCTCAACGATCAGTTCGACCACTAAAAGCTATTGGGCCCAATGGGACAGCTTGCTGCTTCAGGATGGAGTTCTGTGCCGTAAATGGGAAAATGTTCGGGGAGACAGCTGTCATTTGCAAATGGTCGTCCCTAAAGCTAGAGTACCGGATGTTCTACAGCTGTACCATAATGATTGTTCAGGAGGCCATCTGGGAGTTAAACGAACTCTACTGAAGATCCGAGAACGGTTTTACTGGGTCCACTGTCGAAACGATGTCGAGGACTGGTGTCGCAAATGTACAAGTTGTGCGGCTGTAAAGGGACCTCAGACTCGTAGTAGAGGTGCATTGAAGTTGTACAATGTTGGTGCACCCTGGGAGAGAATAGCCATTGACGTGGCGGGGCCGTTTCCGGAGAGTGAAAGCGGTAACAAGTATTTCATGGTTGTGATGGATTACTTCACTAAGTGGCCAGAAGTCTTCGCCATTCCAAATCAAGAAGCTTCAACAGTTGCATATAAACTAGTTCATGAAGTCTTCTGTCGTTTTGGAGTACCTTTAGAGATTCACAGCGATCAAGGAAGGAATTTTGAGTCTCAAATATTCCAGGAAACTTGCCGAGTTATGGGTATTCATAAAACAAGAACGACTTCTTATCACCCGCAATCTGATGGAATGGTAGAACGATTTAATCAGACATTGGAGAGGTACCTAGCAAAAGTTGTGGACCATCGGCAACGAGATTGGGACAAGCACATACAACCGTTTTTGTTGTCATATCGAAGCGCTGTTCACGAAAGTACAGCAGTGACACCAGCTTTCGCAAACTTTGGAAGAGAATTACGGCTGCCTGCAGACCTGATCACCGGGATACCACCTAATGCCCCACGCAGTATAACCGATTATGCAAATGACTTGCGGAACAAAAAGAATGGCATTTGTGAGCACGTCAGACAATCGGGCCAGCAAATGTCTGAAAAGATGAAAACCTGGTATGACCGCAAAATGAACAACAAAGGGTGCGACGAAGGTTCACTATTGTGGTTGCACAGTCCAGTCCGCAGCAATGGAAAATTTCCTAAGCTTAAAGCTAAATGGGACGGCCCGTACCGGATTGTAACCAGGATCAACGATGCAACCTACCGGATACAGAAAGGTGCAAGAGGGACTCCTAAGATCGTTCATGTATAATAATGCGCCAAGCAATCCTGGCGCATTATTATGGGGCCGATAATGCTCGGGACGAGCATGTCTTAGGAGGGGGCAGTGTTGCGCGCCTAAGTTGACGTCATCTACCCGGCACTAGCGCCATCTAGTGTCAGGGACGAGAGCGAGGGGAGCTTTCCAGAAAATGACATCACTAATCTTTCAACCGACACCGCCATCTAGTATCGAAATGAGGAACTAAGCTTCTGGAAGCCCGACACTCGAAATTTCGGCGCCTTGTCGATTGGTGCGCGTATTTACTTGAATATTCTGGATGTTTCGGTGATAATGTGTATTTAAAGGCGCTGCAAGATGCGATCGAGGAAGTATTGAATTTGGCGAGACAAGCGAAGCTTCGGAGCGGAATAAAGTGAATCAGTCTGATTAATTATTAGTGTTTTACGTTTAATTAGTGTAAAGTGAATTAAAGTGTTAATTTTGGTAATTCTATCGGCAATTTTTATTGTCACGAACCTCAAGCTCGTAACAGTATTAAAAAGAATTGGTGTACATGCTTATAATGAAAGGTTTAATAAGTTTAAAGTCTTAAGTAGTGTTAAATATGTTTTTATGGGTGGTCATAGTAATCAATACTAATAGTTCCATCAATTTTGGAAATTTTACTGTCCATATCTCTGTGACACTAACCAAGATTCACTTCGATGTTATATACTCTTTTGGATCTGACATGATTACTTTAGGCTGAGTATATACTAAGTGGCAGAGCTCAGGAAATCGTCTGGATGGATACCACCAATCTGTGAAGCATTCCATTTTAGTCTTCAGTGTTGACAACGCATCTGCGTTTTGATTCTTTTTTTTTTGATAAAACGTTACCACCACATTAGGATTTTCTCCTGTATCGTGGGGGCAGTTTACAAACATAAATTTCACAAGGACAAACATCCAGACCCGGAACAATCACTTGTAGCCCATACAAATACTTGTTCCGTGCGGGATTCGAACCCGCGGCCCTTAGCGCTGTAACTTATTGCTCAGCTGCTGCTCCACTGAGCCGTCAATCTTTATCGAGGATAAATGTAGATATCTATGGATGTAGATGTAGATGTCTATGGGCCACAGTATCCACTTACCATTATGTGGACTGTGTGCTAATTTTTCACCCATATTCTATATAAAAAAGGCGCTCATGGCCTGCAGTTGCCACTTATAATCAGGTGGACTCTAAGGGCCTACGCTCTCAGTTGGCACTGCATAGCACGGCGTGTCAAGGGATGTTGTCAAAGGAATGTGAGAGCTTAGTAATTGAAACAAGGTTGAATCTAGCTCATTGCAGCGGCAATCTCAACGACTCGCACGAGCGCCCGGTACACGAGCGCGTCTTGACTGTTAGGCATGCTGCGGGATGCCACAGGGTCCTTCGGCATGTCGAAGTATGTCTTGCCACGTCGTACCGTGCCGTGCCGTCTGTGAGTGCAGGCCCTAAGTTCGTTGGTCACCACTCACCGCAATGTAATAAAAAGAGTAATTACAAAATGTAAATTCTTAAATTTACTTGATTATGATACTCGGTATGTTTGTGAGTTCGAATATTTTGAAATAACTATGCTTATTATATCCCAACTATTGAGAGTTTTCGCAAGCCAAACTTGATATAGCGAATATGCTGTCATGTTAATATATGTTTCGATAGTTTTCACATGTTATCTATCGCATATGTTTGAAGGAAATTAATTTCCTTTTGTTGTTTCTGAAACATATGTATTTAAGTATAATCTATTACGATAAACTCGCAAATTATACATAAAGGCTAAATTTAAAACTTTAGTGTTGTGTTTCTAATTTCAGACCGAAGATGATGCCTCAGCGTACACCACGATGTCTATATTGAGTACGCATCTGCTCCATTCAATTGCTATAATCGACCAAACATATATAAGTCGGAAAGCTATGGCTCAGGCCGTAGCAGAACAATTTTTCGGCTGTTTCATTACTATGCAGAATTGGTCCGACTTGTGGCTCGCCAAAGGGATTCCCGATTATTTATGTGGATTGTACTCTAAAAAGTGTTTTGGGAATAATGAGTACAGATATTGGATACATCAGGAGTTACAGGAGGTTATGATTCATTTATTCATTAGTTTCTGAATGCCAATATTTTTAATTCCTGCACAGTATTCGTCATTAAACCTGTTAGTGCAAATGTAGAAATCAGTATAGGCTTGAAAGGTTAAAAAATGATCAGCTATCAACTCAAGTGATTACCGAGTAATAAAAAATGATGCTAATCAAGTTTTTTAACTTCCCGCTATGAAAATCAGTGATTTTCAAAAAATGAGAAAGTTATTGTTTTCATCCCAGTTTTCGAAAATCGAGTTCTTATCAGATTTCGGCACAATAGATGGAATTTTGAGCGCTTTGATATTGAAATTAGTAGGAAGTTCAAGGCATGGCCTGCAGGGTCAACCAATTTTTTTTCTTCATTGTTTATCCATTTTGAAGTGTTTATTTACCAAGCGGTCAACGGTGTATAGGTAAACGTCTTGAGAAAACTCTCAGAGAGAAGTCTCAGAAATTAAAAGAAAAACCTTTCATAAACATGCTAAAAATCTTTTATCTAGATTCCGTCGTTATCATCAAAATTACTTTAGGCGATTACATAGTTTGTCTCGGACTTGTATCTTTCTGAAATTTCTCTTAGTCGACTTTACGACTACCAAACGTCGACACTGGGTGATAGATTCAACTTCGTCGCCATATTTATTTTATTTTATATTTAACAATAAACAGTTATACAGTGTTAGGCAAAAATACATTTAAAACCTTATGTAAGTGTACAATAACTGTACAACCGATACCACAGTTCCCAGATTAAGTATTTATGTTAAGATTCTCGACAACAGCACCACCTATCGGATCCCATTTGAATCTTAACCATTCATGGACCCACTCAAACACACATGAAAAAATTATCATAATCATTCATTTTCGAGATTTAGCGAGACTAATGGACAAATAGGAGCAATTGACTTTATATATAGAGATGAAAATATAGCTTATGTTGTAAATACAGTTATCAATAAAATTAAAAATTGAAGAATACTTGGATAATTGATGTCAGCGGATGCTTATGTTACATCGGTTGCTTATCGACTTTTCAGATTTTTAGGTTTTTTAGATTCAGAAGTTGCAAAACAACCTACATCTTGAATTTTAACTAGAAATGATTTTGTCCCAAGCACTAAAACTCTTAATTCTTTTCTTAATAGATACTTTTTGCTGTTTATATTTTATTTATTTACCAATAATTATTGTACATAGGTCGTGAGTTACGAAGAGCAATACGGAGGAATCGTCCTCGATCCATGGCAGCCGCCTGCTAGTGGTGCTCGTGTGGAACCGAAGGATGTTTTCTATTTCCCGGTTCGCAACGTACACACTATGTCACCACGATATATTGAGGTAATTATTATAAATTATACATCATTATTATACAAAAATTACAAAATGTTTTGTTTTGTTTGTTTGTTGAATATTATGTGATGAATTGACATTCTTACATAGGTACAGTGTTGTGGCGGTGTAAGAATATCTACTACCCCATATCATCCCGTGGGTGTCGTAAGAGGCCAACGAGGGAAAACAAATTAGGAGATGAGCAGCAGCATCTTCCTATTAACGACTAAAAATAGAAAACTGCGGTTGCCAACCCACTTGCAAAGCGTGGTAACTATGCCAAATATCCCACGTATGAGGAAATCTGTAAGGGAGGCCTTTGTCCAGCAGTGGACTTTAATAGGCTGTAATGATAATATAGGAATTTATTTATTTGAATTAGATTGCCTCATAAATGCATGGAAACTAAGGAACATTTTCCCCACATATGCCGTAGTTGCCATGCTTGACAGGCAGCTTGGTAACCATAGTTTTTTGTTTTCTATTTTCTATTTTTTTAATATAGGATAGGGTGACAACCAAGCACACAGTCCACTTGATGGTAAGTGGTTGCTGTGGCCCATAGACATCTACATCCATCCTCGATTACGAATCAAAATGTAGATGCGTTGTCACCCGTGAGGACTACGTTGGAATGCCTCGTTTCCAGTAAAAAGGATCTCCGGTTCTCTACACTTACCATACGAAACACAGCAGCATTAAGCTACTATTTTACGCTGGTATTCTGTGAGAGCGTGGTCCTTCCCCGGTCGGGCCGAACCATTCGTGCTACAACTATACTATTACTATAACTGCGGCATGGCTCTACGACGTGTGAAATATTTGTTTTGACGCAGCTGTTCGGCTCCTGGTTTGTTTCCCTTTGTTCCGTTTTTTACCACCCACGGGATGATATGGGGTAATGGAAATTTTTGCACTGTCGCTATGATTGTGTAATTTTGAGTTAGAGTTATTAAAATGTATTTCTTCTCTGCAGGTAATGCGCAAGAAATCTCATTTGGTTCTACGAATGTTGGAACAGAGAATTGGTCAAGAGCTGCTCCTTCAAGTATTCAATAAGCAGTTATCTTTGGCAACCAATGCCGCAAATACAAAGATCGGCAGTGGTTTGTGGGGTCATTTATTATTGTCAACCAATCTGTTCGTCAAAGCTATATTCACTGTGACAGGAAAGGACATGGCAGTTTTTGTTGACCAATGGGTTCGAACTAGTGGCCACGCAAAGTTCCAGCTTACTTCAGTGTTCAATCGAAAACGGTCAGTTATTAATATATTTTTAATATACATTAAATTATTCATAAAAAAATGTAAACGCTTGATTAGTTATATAGTGTTTTGTCTCATTCTGTCATTTGCGAGACACTTGTTGCTAGAAAGTGACAAAACACCATTTAAATAATCAAGTGTTTAAAAATATATATGAATAATGGGGAAAGTATCAAAACAGTAAGATTGGCTGGATCTTATCAGTTATATTATTACAACTATAGTATCTTAGGTTGTAAGGGAGACCATACCATTATTTCTTCTTAATCGTTAACCTTATCGTTTTCATTTTGTTGCCATTTTATGAAGTTTGAATTAACAATAAATATTTTATGTCTTCTATAGAAACACAGTGGAACTAGAAATACGCCAAGACAGCGTCCATGAACGCGGTATAAGAAAGTATGTGGGGCCGTTACTTGTGCAGTTGCAGGAGTTGGACGGTACATTCAAACATACCCTGCAGATAGAGAATACAGTGGTGAAAGCTGACATCACATGCCACAGCAAGAGTAGAAGGAATAAGAAGAAGAAGATTCCCCTATGTACGGGCGAAGAAGTTGATATGGACCTGTCAGCTATGGAGTAAGCATCTAGTCGAGCACTGCCTTATAATAAGTAAAAAAAAACATAATAATTTCTATTGCGTTGCTGTACAAGAGATTGTTTGGTCCATTCAAGTGCCGATTTGAGTCTTTCTAATTTATAATGCTTCTGCAAACGCCTTCAGTTGCTTGGAAACAAAAACGCCATCTATATAGATATAAAAACTGGACAGTTCCACGGATATATAAAAATGTATGGTTTTCATTTATCCATGAACACATTAATTTATAAGAATGCTGTATTCAATAACTAACGAATTTACAAGTGAATTTTTATAAGTGCACCATTGACGGTAGTCGTAACGTTTTAGACATACTATATACAACTAATTTTATAGCTCTCGGACTAAAGGGAGAATAAGGGTATACATGACTTTCTGCCACCAGGAAGGCACCAATTTTGATTGAAGTGGAATTTTGACAGATTTAATAGCGGGGAAGTTAATTTGTTAGAAAAATGTAAAGATTAATGTTTCTTTTTGTAATATTAGTTATATTATGCGAGGGGTGATCCAAAATTAATGATAATGAATGTTAAACACGGTGATTATGGTTAACAAATAATTTTCAATGCATTTAGTCCATCTTTTTTCGAAACCTAGAATTCCCTGAGAAAAAAATCTTCAATTTGACCCTCCAAAAAAGCCACAACAGCTTCTATCACTTTGTTATCGTCTGCAAATTTCTTGCCTCGGAGGTGTTCCTGCAATTTTGGCTTTGTGAGCCGGAGCGTCGGCATGGTGAAACAGCACTCCAGCTTACAGTTTGCCGCGTTCTTTTCCTTAATAGCCTGCTGCAATCTCCTTATTTGGTCTGGAGCCTGATATAGTGGCTCCCTTTTCCAAATATTCTACCATAATTGTTACGGCCCTCAGTTGCCCCGACAAAAGTCGACTGGGCTAGAGCCCATAGTAATCCAACTCGACGAGCAACCGAGGAGAGGGCCCAAATGGCCTATGGATAATTAATTTATAACGGCTGTACAAGCAAACATAAACTTACCGAGCTCCGGAGGTAGTGTCGACCACAAGGCACCGTCAGGGGTAAGTAAGTCACCAAGGCAATCGTTCAGCAGAACCACATGCGTTTCCCGCTCCACAAGGTGCTCACCGCTATCGGAACTCAAGTCTAACGTCACTTATCACAAACTATAATCGAACGCGATCTCCACCCGGGTCACAAAGTTTAGCGTTCCACACGACAAAGCAAAATTCCTTCGTACAATATTAACTACACAAGCCACTCGTCGACGCAAATTAATGTCAATCAAAGTTTAAGCTAATCACTCAAAACTCAAGGAAAGCCTCGTTGTCACTTATACGTACAAAATAAGACAACTCAAAAGAGGCAGTCTTAATGCGACGTAACAATTCTTACTTAACTCTCGACCTCTAATCGACACGGCCGTCGCGTACAATCGAATATTCTAGACTAATTTCCCGACTTCCCACCGGCACGGCCGTAACGCACAAAGATTCTTCCAGACTCGCTGGCACAGCCGTAGGCGCAAGCGAATGCCCCCCCGCGCAACCCGCCAAACCGGTTCCACGCCCGGGACGATCGCCTTGCAAACTTCAAGATGCCACGATTTGGCGTAAACAATAATTATTCCTTCAGTTTCCCAAAAAACGAACATCATATCCTTTCCAGCCGAATTTAACACTTTCAATTACTTTTGATTTCAGATTTACCCTCGAAATGTCGACTAGTTTTTTCTTTTGCACGTCGGTTATCATTCTCGGTACCCAACGCGCAGAAACCGTTTTCATATGTAATTCATTCACAAGGGTTCTTTGATCATTGTCATATGAGATCTCTGTGACCTCAACTATATGCTTGATGGTCACTTTTTGATCTGCCAACACGACATCTTCGACTCTTTTCACGTTCTCTTCAGTGAGGGATGTGGATGGACGTCCTTCGCGATGTTCATCTTCCGTGAATGTTTTGCCCAGCTTCAAGTCCTTGTCTCAGCGTCCGACTGTAGAATATAGAGGAGCAGAGTCCTCCAATGTTTCCACTAAGTCGTTGTGTATGTCTGTGTTAGACTTTTTTATACAGAGGCTTGGTGAGCTCTAATTTCGGTTTTCTCTATTTTGATGTTATCACTTCGATGATTCGTGTGCAAATGAATACCTCCCGGGAATCGTAGCATATTTATATAATTTTCTAAACTAATCGAGTGGGCAAATAGCAAGCAAAAAAAATTTTTTTTTTGGATTTTTATATGAATGGAAATAACTGATTATCATTACTCTTGGAAATTAGGTTAGAAATGATTTACTATTATTTAAAACTAAATTCTCGATTAAATGAGACTGTGTAAAACAAACAAGTGGCTAAATTAAAAAAAAATTGTACAACCGATTTCAATATAAATAAAATGAGAAGGAACATCAATGTATTCGAAGTCAATTAAATACGCACTATGAAGGATTACTCAAAAAGATTAAGATCTGACCTTAATCTAATTTATATGGGATCACATGAGAAGCCTTAAAATCGGTTCACCTAGTAAAAGTTCTGAGGTAACATACATTAAAAAAAAGTCGCATTGAGAACCACCTCCTTTTTTGAAGTCGGTTGAAAACTTTACCTTGATCACAGCTAGCGATATCTGGTATGCGTAAAATTATTAGCCCTCATTCAATGTGACTGATATGTGTACGTAGACCCTTATGTAAGAACCATGTGACAGTGACTCGCCGGTGCTGTGGATCCGGCTGGACCCGGAGATGTCGCTACTGCGGAGCACGGTGATCTCGCAGCCGGACTACCAGTGGCAGTACCAGTTGCGTCACGAGCGTGACGTCACCGCACAGAGCGAGGCCATCGACGCGCTGCACAACTTCCCCGAACCGGTCACCAGGAAGGCGCTCACAGACACCATCGAGAATGAGCAGACCTACTACAAGATTAGGTGTCGCGCTGCTCACTGTTTGACCAAGGTGGGTTACAAAAGAAAGACGTGTTCTCATTCAAATAAATGGTAGGAATTAAATTTTATACCTGTTACTTACATAGTTTACACAGATCCCCAAGTGTGCATATAATCAGGTGGCAAAATTAACCATGTGGTATGTGATATTAGTTTTTTGACATAAATTAAATCGCACGAACCTTATTCATTCGTACAATAAGTAAAAAACAAAATGTCCGTTTCGATTATATACGCAATTTTTCGTCGTTCGTTGTTTGCCAAAGTCTTATCCACCAGCCAGTAGGAATGGACCGTCCAAATGTTAAGCTCACTAGACATTTCGAAAAACAGCTGACATTCTCTCTCCATGTAAGCCAGCTATTTCTACAGATGCCCCATGTTGGATCAATAATAAAGTTTTATTTTAGGTGGCGAATGCTATGATCAGTTCATGGGCTGGACCGCCGGCAATGTTGACGATATTCCGCAAGATGTTCGGCTCGTTTTCGGCGCCTCACATAATTAAGCAGAATAATTTTGACAATCTGCAGCACTACTTCTTGCAGAAAACTATACCTGTTGCTATGGCAGGTGAGGTGACGTTTATATTTAACTTTTAAGAGACTTGTGTGGAATAAATTTAATTAATCATAAGCAGCTATTGTTACTTACATGCACTATTTCTAAAAAAAAAACATGGACGCGTTAGAAGACCTTCAGAAAACTAAACTTCGAATGAATGAGACGAATGCAGAGTATCAGGATATTATTGATTAAAACTACTTTTACGGATTTTATTGCGTTTCATTTTAATTGATTTTTAATCCCCGACATTCGGTTGCTTTCCAGCAATTAAACACTATAAAATCCGTAAAAGTAGTTTTAATCAAAGTGTAGTATTCGCGTAAATATAAGAAATCATTATCAGGATATTATATTATGTAAACAGGATATTTATTATAGTGTTCCGATATACACTGCGAGCACTGCTCTCACTGGTGAAAAATTCGTTCTGTTATGGCGTGCCAGTATACTGTCGTAGTACCCTAGAGAAATATATGACGTTATAAATCGCCGCCATTTTTGTACGGTGAGCACTGGCGCGTTCGAGGTAAGTTGCTTTCTCTAAATATTTTGATCACGTGATCAAAAAACAACAGACCCTAGAGATTTAACAGCTTCCAAGAATGATTGTTATTATTAATCATCAATTTTGTTATCAAATAATAATTTTTCTTGTTGAACAGAAAACCTTTACACGATAAATATTTTCATTTGAAAACAGTGTCGAAACATGGGGATGACAGTATATTGGACTATGTACTGTTTTAAACAGTAACCAGAATAGCAAACTATAGTTCATAAAAGATAGCTTGATCTCTGCGTACTGTCTGTACTACTAAGAAATTCAGGACTTCATAGGCGTGATTTTACTGACAGCTGTCGCAGAGATCAAGCTATCTTTTATGAACTATAAAAAGGAACGGTTTCACAGTAAACTGAATTATCGTCATACCTTACAATGGTCACAGTTGTTTATGGGAACATACCCATAGTTACAAAGTTTAAAAGTTATTTATATTATATTATGTATAATAGGAAACACTGTGTCGAATATAATATTCTATCACATTCTCTTACCGGCTAAATCTTGTAGATGTATATGTTTGTCTCTTTTTAGTGTCGCTATTTTGTTTCGTCGAGTTTTAAATCACAGCGATTAAATTAAAATTAAAAATTGTTTATTTCTTTAAAGATATCACACATTACATATGTATGGGAGTAAGTGAGACATCCTTTTAAGTAAATATATACTTGTGGCAGGATGTACCGCTCTTCTATAGCTAGAATTACATTTTTTGTTTATTATTTAACTAACTTAAATTACATTTAATAAACACAAAAAAAATACAAAAAACTAAGCTTATATTTATTTAAGAGTGTGTGCGTGCATGCGTGCGTGCGTGTGCGTGTGCGTGTGCGTGTGCGTGGCGTGGGCGTGGGCGTGGGCGTGTGCGTGGGCGTGTGCGTGTGCGTGTGCGTGGGCGTGTGCGTGTGCGTGCTGCGTGTGTGTGTGTGTGTGTGTGTGTTGTGTTGTATCCGTATGTAAAATTTATTTACTAACTTTTATTAATGCCTCGACCTCATCATAGTTAAGTTTGAGAAGCCATTCTGTGACTGTCTTTTTGAGCTCATTAGAATTCAGTGAATAGATGTTTAATTTTTTATTGACTACGTTGTACAAATAACCAGCCTGTCTTTTAAATTGGTGACTAGCAAAATTTGTCTTAACTAGAGTTAATTCAAAAACTTTTCCTCGTCTATTACTACTTTTGCAGTTGTAGAAAGTTGTATTGTTTATTGTTAACAATAAATTTAAAATGTATAACTTTCTAACACTCAATAAACCGCTAACTGAGTAAAGTTCTTGTGTAGGAAGTCTATACGCTTTGTTGTACATTACCTTTATTAATGAACGTTGACCACGTTCTAGTTGTAAGAGTTTCGTTTTCGGAGCACCACCCGAAACTGGTATACAATATGTCAAAATCGATTGGGCTACTGCAGCATTTATTTGATTTAGATAAGTTTTCGTAACCTGTTATTAGTTGCTTCTGTATGTGAATACCATGTGAGTGTTTGGTCAATTATAACCCCTAAGTATCTAGTACTAGTAACTTTTTCTATAGTAGGACACGTGCAATTGTTGTGCAAACCACAGTTGTGTATTTTGAGATTGCGTGTTGTGGGTTGTGTTCGTTTGTTGATTGAAAAGCATATATATTTTGTTTTAGACGCGTTAAGGGTAAGCAAGTTCATTGTGAGCCAATTTGCAATTTTGGACAGCCCTAGTTCAGCTTTTTCGTATACTTCATCCCACGATTTACCTGTGAAAACGACAGCAGTGTCATCCGCATACGAATAAATTTTACCATTTTCAAGTTTCAATTTACCGAGCGATGATGAGCGAGCGATTCCAAAGAAGTTTTTACTTCAAAAATGCTTTTTTTCAGGTTTAAGAAACATACACGGTATTTGCCCCCCGGAAGTTGTAAGATTTCTATTGGATTTGTTCAAGTACAATGACAATTCGAAGAATCATTTTTCGGACAACTATTATAGGGCGGCGCTAGTGGACGCTTTAGCTGCGACTATAACACCAGTTATTTCTGTACTGCAACCAGTAAGTGGTCTAAGTACTTATCTATTGTCTATGGTCTATTGTATATTATATGTTTTTGGGTGTGGTAAGTTTAAATATGCGTGAGATATAATTTATTACCAAAATTATAATATGCGTGAGTTGCTGCACGCCTGCTAAACTTGGCGGATAGTGGCAAAATATGCTTACCCCCTATGAGGCAATCTATGGGGTAGGCCTATGTACAGCTGTGGCAGTGGCGTAGCTAGAGCTCCAAGCTAGGGCAAGCCCAAGATATAAATTGATAAAAATATAGATTGTTGTTTTAGCAGTTTTATAAAAATACACCAATCTTGATCTGTCTCCACGCTTCAGTTTCACATTCAGTGCTGTCAATGACGTGTTTAACAAAGCATACAGAAGGCATACTACTGCTAGATAGATTGTATTACATATCAGCAATTGCATAGCTTCGGTGGCTTTGAAGAAAGCCGTTTGGGTTTGTTTAAGCGAAAGATAAAAAATATTTACATCCGATACAATACATGAACAAAAGAAAATACGAACAATGTACAAACAAACTATTTATATAAATACTAATTAAAAAAAAAAAAATTATTTACATTCTAATGGATAAGAGATAAGATAAGATAAGTGGAATCGTCTCGCTTTCTTATGGAAAGATTTAATTATGTCCACGTAAAATGTTGGTGAACGTTTTAATTGTACCAATAACTGTTTTTAATTGCGATAATTGATGAAGTCTGAAATACACTCTTAACCTTGCGTATTATCTCAACAAAGTTTAAAGATTTCCTCTCCGATTATCACTTTAACACACTTCAATTCATCACAAGGAACACTATTATCCTCCATTTTCATTAAAAATCTTTAAAAAAGCATACATTTTGAACTCTTAATATTAAATCGCTTAAGATAAGCACACAGAGTAAATAAACATTGAAACGTGAAATGAACTTGCAAACGTATTGCCCGCGCGCCTCCGCTTTTAACAAATTTATTCCCAAAAGCCTGGCTTTAAATCTCTATACTAATTGTTAATATATACAATCGTAGTTATATTTCATTATAGAATATTTTGCCATAGGTTAGAAAGAGAGCGATCGTCTTCTCGAAAGCCCCGTAAAAAACCCACGCGAGCGAGGGATACAACTATTAGCTCTATTAAAACTCATTTTTTATGACAGCAGCAGTATCGCTAAGGCAATACGAGGTCATCGGTCGACATGTGTCGAACAGTGGAGTGCGCGGGAAATTGGAAAAAGCTTGAAACATTTTAAGAGTTATTTCATTAGTTGATATTATTGATTGATTCAGGTTTAATAAGGCAAGCCCGGCTTTTTGGCTTTAATGGAAGCTTCGCCACTGAGCTGTGGACATTTTTAGGCTGTAATTCTGTAATGAATGAATTTTGAATAACGTTTAGTTAGCAACTAATGTCCATTAACTGGCTTGAAATAAGAAAATAAAAAATAAGTTGTCATGATTCAAATTTATAGGGTAATATTTCGTGTACACGGTAAATTTTTAATTTTGTAACTCTTATATTTGTCAGATAACAGTAATGTGCAAGTGTTTTTAGTCAGTGTTTTTACTCCAGTGACAAAAAGTGCTGTTTTTTATGTAAAAGTAATATTTAATATATCTTTGACCAATTTTATTACATTTTATCATATTATATAAAACCTATGTAATCTTTGTTTTTGTTTGACAAAATCAATTATCATCATATTTCATCATCACATTTTTATGGCAGGGTGCCCCCATAACGGCAGATTCCCTATCAGCGGATACAAAATTAGTGCTGGAAGAGATTACACGAATGCTGAATTTGGAGAAAGTGTTGCCATGTTATAAAAACACGGTCACAGTGAGCTGTCTTCGTGCAATACGTCGTCTGCAGCAATGTGGTCATCTGCCAAGTATCCCAACGATATTTAGAGCTTATGCACAATATGGACAATACATAGGTAATTTGTATATAATTGAAATAATATTAGCAATAATATAATATAACCTTCCCAGTAATAAGAAAATATAAAAAATTGGTATTGTCCTGTATTGGGACTAATATAGTATTATACTAAAGCCACAAGGCGTATGGGTTTCTTTTTTCTGTCCGGGTTAGTACTACCATCTTATCGAAACACATTCGAATGTGTTCGCATCAAATCATTCGATAATGGTAGTAGTCGAACTCCGTTAAATTAGTTTCATTTAATGTGTAGTATTGATACTACACATTAAATGAAACTAATTTAACGGATTTTATCGCATACTTCAACTATTATTCATCTCTCGAATAAATATAGTGTTCGAGATTTTAAGAACAACATTATTAAGGAATCATTCACCAACAGACGTCCGGCTGGCGGCGTTCGAGTGCCTGGTGGACTTCGTGCGCGTGGACGGGCGGCCGGAGGATCTGTCGTCGCTGCTGACGGCCGTGGAGAACGATCCCGAGCCGGGCGTGCGGCACGGGCTGGCGCGCCTGCTCGTCGCCATGCCGCCCTTCGAGCGCGCGCAGCGCCACCGCCTCGACACCGAGGCCGTCGTGCACAGGTACCACTGCCCGCAACACGTGAATAGAAAAAAAATTGGGTGTGGCTGAGTCGTGGACACGGCCGTGTGTTCTACGTGAATACGTGTACCATAGTCGGAACTACTACTATCAGTCTATTATCGAAGACGCCTAGACGCGGCAATTGTATAGTGCGGTGCGGGGCGAGGTTGTCCTGTCACTCAAATAAAATGAGAATGGTTCACACGACGTGCGCGGTAAAAAACTGGTGAGTCTTCCTCATTAAAGATAAGGAACTAAAGTTTCATCGGTTTTCACATAGGGGGCGTCCATTAATCACCTGGGGTTCTAAAGGTGGGGAGGGGATATGGCAAAAACCACGAAATATCATAAGGGGAGCGGTAGTAAGATTACCACGTTTTTTCGTGAAACGCGCGATTTATAAACCGAAACGCGGCCTTGACTCGCCTGTACATGTAAATTCATGTCACAAGCATGAACCTAATCCGAGCAGTAATAATCTAGAGATGCACAATGTTTGTCCTTCACGCATCGATCGATCGGTAGACCAAGAGAGATTCTCTGCGTAGTGCGCGAAAATGGTGACACCGAGTGGCTTGATGAAACCGACGCTGATCTTCAATAAAGCACAGTGCTGTAGCAGCCAGGCTAATCGGCAATAAATAATATATACCCTGCTGCTACCAGAACACAGAAGGCGAAGAAAACATTTATTTCCCAACTATCCCCGGCTACTGAGATACTGCGGGCTGCATATTGATGCGAGATAATTTGACGTATATATTTAACGTTCTAATAAAGAAACAAGAAACAGCCGCAAATATCATTCAGCGCCACATCGTCTTCACACGCCGCTATCGTTATGTATCCGTCGACCATTTTGAAGCCGTTTCTTCAACACCGCAGCTCGCTTCTTCTTGCTGTTCCGGAGCTGTATCCCACGCCGCCGCCGCTCGCCAACTACGCGCGCGCGCTTTTTTTTTTGCGCCCGAAGCAATTAAAGGGCTACCCTATACGTAGGGAGGCGGAAAATACATTACGCATACCACGATAGCCGGTCTATCGTGGTTATGAGGGGCTCACTGTCCTACCGGGGACCCTAAGTGATACCCTCTAAAAACCGCCTTTGGGGACAGGCAGCCGGCTGATCAAGCTGTATTGTGCCTTCTCATCAGCGACCCTCTATTGGGAAAAGAGGGCGCAGGCGGCTAAGTGCCGCTGAGGGAGTGCCTACGAAGGCAAATTAATGTTAGTTATTACAATAATTTAATTTAATTAGAGTTGGCCTGAGCCGCCAGGAGACAGTTCAGGTCGTTTGACAGTTTATTAGGCGGGTCCGAGAGAGAGTTTCTCGGCCTGCGGACATGATAGTGAGAGGGGGGTGGGGCTGCATAAGAAGCTGCCTCACGAATTAAATGGTTTGGGTGCGACTCTGAGGCTTTGAAGAAGTTCTCAGAGAGTTTTTTAAAAAATTGTTGAATTGTTGGGAGCTCTAAGTCCCGATGAAGGTCGGCATTACGGACGTACCAAGGTGCGTTCGCAGCTCGACGACAGAAGAGGTTCTGAAGTATTTGGAGTTCATTTAAAATATTAGAATTTGCGTGGGCAAAGACGGGGCCCGCGTAGGACATGACTGGTCGTATACAGACCTTGTTTCGAAGGGTACGCTTGTTTCGAAGGGACATTTTACTGTGTCGGCCCAACATACTGTTGAGCCTACTCAGATAAAATCGTGCGTGACGGGTTACTCTTTTGACGTGGGGCTTGAAAGTGAGCCCTGTGTCTAGAGTGACACCTAAATATTTGGCGGACGTATGCCAGGGGACAGGGGTCCCTAGCATACGTATTGGTGGAGTGTTTTTGAGACGGCGTCGTTTATAATCGAAGGCGCGCGCGCCGGCCTGCACAGTTTTTATAGCCCTGTCTAGCGACATAGATACGAGAAGATAACACGAGTCTCACGCCGGCAAATGGAATTCAACAATCGTATCACAAGATCCTCAAAGAATACCCTGGAATCACAAGAATAACTTCAATGAAATTAACACCGAAGAACGACGTTGAGCATTTCATCGAAACCAATGGACCACCACTTCATTGCCGTGCACGTCCAATCGCACCACACCTATACAAACAAGTTCGAAAGGAATTCGAAAACATGATTGAGCAAGGAATATGCCGTCCAAGCAAAAGCCCTTGGTCATCACCACTTCACATTGTACCGAAGAAGAATGGAGAATTACGAGTTTGTGGAGATTACAGAAGACTGAATTCTGTTACCACTCCTGACCGCTACCCAATACCGCGAGTCAAGGATTTCACTCAACTGTCAGACAAGACTATATTCTTCACCATCGATCTCAACCGAGCTTACCAACAAATAAGAGTACGCGATGAAGACATAGTGAAGACAGCAATAATTATCCCAATGGGATTATTCGAATTTCCAAGAATGACCCCAGGATTAAAGAATGCTGGTCAAACCTTCCAAAGATTCATACACGAAGTACTTCATGGACTGGATTTCGTTTTCGCATTCATTGATGATCTCCTTGTTGCAAGCCCTGATAATGAAACGCACGAAACCCATCTACGCACCGTGCTACAGCGATTAGAAGACAACGGAATCACTATCCACCCTTCGAAATGCATATTTGGCCAACAAGAAGTTCAATTTCTTGGTTTCACCGTCAGCAAGGAAGGAATCAAACCGCCTGCCGAAAAAGTCACAGCAATCATCGATTATGCGAAATCTAAAACTATTGAAGAGCTAAGGCGTTTTCTTGGGGTGATAAATTTTTACAGAGAACGCATACCTAAAGCCGCTGAAATCGAAGCACCACTTCACACCTACCTTCACAACACGAAGAAAAAAGATAAAACGTTAATCGGATGGAACGAGGAAGCCACGAAGGCATTTGAAGCTTGTAAAGTTGCGATCCAAAATGCAGCTTTGCTCGCTCACCCATCACACGAAGCAACCCTTGCTATCTTCAGTGACGCATCCGATCTCTCAGCAGGAGCCGTTCTCCAACAATACAGCAATGGGAAATGGCAACCACTTGGCTATTTTTCGAAGAAGTAACTACAGTACATTCGACCGAGAGCTACTCGCTATTTACATGGCTATCAAGCACTTCAGAAAAACGTTTTTCATAAGTGAATTCACGACCGACATACGTCACATCAGTGGAAAGGACAACATAGTCGCCGACGCACTCAGTCGCTTCCCAGTCGACAGAGTAACGTGCCTTACATCAATCGACAATCATAAGATCGCCGAAGCACAAGACAGAGATAGCGACAACATAAAACATCTATCGAAGCAAAGTAACTTGTTCATCAAGCAAGTTACAATGCCAATGACGTATCTACCTATCTACTGTGAAGCCTCAACATCAACCATGCGACCATACCTCCCAGAAGAATGTCGTCGCGAAGTCTTCAATACACTGCACAACATCAGTCATCCAGGTGTTAGAACAACAAGAAAACTCATCACTGAAAAATTCTTTTGGCCTTCAATGCAAGTGGAGTTGGCAACTGGGCGAAGCAAAGCATTCAATGCTAAAAATGCAAAGTACAAAGGCATACATCAAGTAGCCTAGCTACATTTCCACCCACGGAGAGATTCGAACACCTGCACGTTGACATCGTTGGACCATTACCTACTTCACCGCAAGGACATCGTTATCTCGTAACAATGACCGACAGAAAAACAAGATGGCCAGAAGCAATACCTACCGATGATACTTCAGCCGAATCCGTCGCGAAGATAATTTATGAAAATTGGATTACTCGTTTCGGATCACCTAAAACCATCACAACTGATCAAGGAAGAAACTTCGAAAGCAACCTATTCCTCAAACTTCTTCAAACTATGGGAATACAGAAGACACGTACAACAGCATACCATCCTCAATCAAACGGAATAATCGAACGATGGCATCGTACATTGAAGACCGCACTCAAAAGTCGTTTATCTCAACATACATAGTGGATTGATGTGCTACCTATAGTGCTACTCGGACTACGAGCAACACCGCGTGCAGACACTAGTCTTAGCGCCGCTCAGCTAACCTACGGCTGCAGCATAAGACTACCGTGTGACTTCTTCACTTCAACATCGTCAAACAATCAAGAAATGGATTACGATTTTGTAACTCAACTTCGAGAATCAATCAACAAAGCATTATTTATCGTCGAAATGCACATCATCACACGGGAATAATAAATCAGTATTCATTCATCAAGATTTGAAAACATGCAAGCAAGTTTTTATAAGAAACGACTCAGTGAAAAAACAATTTCAACCTACCTACGATGGACCGTATAAAGTATTAGAGCGAAATAGCAAGACTTTTAAATTCTGGAAGGAAATCTACAATTATATCGATCGACCGACTAGAGCCTGCCTATATTATTAACGAGGATACTTCAGAGGATTCATCATCATCACAACCACCAGCGAGGAAGTTTGAAAATCCATCATCTACATCAACCCAGATGAAACCTATTTTAAAAATTACGAGACACGAGCGAGTCGTCAAGCCTCCGGTAGGGGGAGAGTGATGTAGCAGCCAGGCTAATCGGTAATAAATAATATATACCCTGCTGCTACCATAACACAGAAGGCGAAGAAAACATTTATTTCCCAACTATCCCCGGCTACTGAGATACTGCGGGCTGCATATTGATGCGAGATAATTTGACGTATATATTTAACGTTCTAATAAAGAAACAAGAAACAGCAGCAAATATCATTCAGCGCCACATCGTCTTCACACGCCGCTATCATTATGTATCCGTCGACCATTTTGAAGCCGTTTCTTCAACGCCGCAGCTCGCTTCTTCTTGCTATTCCTGTGTCAAACGCCGCCGCCGCTCGCCGACTACGCGCGCGCGCCGGCCTGCACAACTCTTATAGCCCAGTCTAGCGACGTAGATACGAGAAGATAACACGAGTCTCACGCCGGCAAATGGAACTTACGTAATAGTTGTATTTTTAATAATCTTTATT